GGGTAGCTGTAATGATTTAATGAGATGAAATGCATATCCTCGGCCATCGTATTTTTCTTCTATAGATGGGGAGTCATGGTAGTGCCCTTGTGAGGGAGATGTAAGGATTTAGTTAATGAAATGCACATCATGGTCCATATCACATCGTACGTGATCAGTTAAATTTAGCCATTAGAAACAGCACATATAGGGCACCTGGGTAGCTCAGTCAATTAAGCGAATGACTTCGGCTCAGGTCGTGGTCTCAGGGTCGTGGAATCGAGCTCCGTGTCGGGCTCCCCACTCAGCCTGGAGTCTGCTTGTCCCTCTCCCTCTGCCGCTCTCCACCACTTTCTCTCTTTCTCAAATAAATAAAATCTTTAAAACATTTTTAAAAAACAGTACATATAAAACCCCGTGAAGTAATCCATATCATTTTCCCTGATGTCATCTAGAGAATGCAAGTATTTAATCAACTGGGGAACACACATATATCATCTCTGTGTATTTAGTATGGTTTTTACTTTGGAATCAGTATAGATTGACAGAATTACAAATATTAAAGATAGTTTCTGCTTTCCCTGTACCCAGCTTCCTCCAGCATTAACCTTCTGCATAACCACTGTTATCTGTCAAGAAATTAACATTGGAACATCACCTTTAACTGAACTATATATTTTCCACTAATGTGCTCTTTCGTTTCAGGATCCAATCTGCAACGCCACATTGCACCTAGATGATACATTTTTAAAGGATTCTTTTTCATTATTGTGGTATTTTGGTCTACCTTCTTCTTTATTTCTTTTATGTTAACCAGTAGGGCAATAAATATATACTGTAGCCATTAATTAAACAAGATCTTTATGTTATGTAGCAAACTTCCTTTGTTGTTCTTATATTAAGTGAAGTTCTACGAACTTGATCTAGTAGAAGGACAGTCATGTGCGTATTCTATCAGCTTGATCCCAAAGAAGGATAAACATCTGAAAATTATATGAGGTTTATCTAGAAGGATAGTCTTGTATGTATTGATCTCGTTGAAGAATAAACACATGAAAGTTCTCTGAGCTTAATCCCATAGATGGAAAAACAAATGAAAATCCTATGAGGTTCATCAAGAAGGATAGCAGGTACATATTCTGTGAGTTTGAACTTGAAGAAGAGTAAGAGTTAAGTCTATGAGTTTGATCTAGTAGAATAGATTTTTTAAAAAATTCCATGAGTTTAATCTAGTAGAATAATAGGTGAAAATTTTATGAGGCTTATGTGGTAAAAGGAAGGCATGTGCATATCCTGTGAGCTAAATCTTACAGAAGGAAAAACAGATGAAAAATCTGTAAGTTTGATCCAGTAGGACAAGCAGCTGAAAATATTACGAGGTTCATCTAGTAGAAGTATTCGCATGTGCATAATCTGTGAGATGGATCTCGAAGAATAAACAGATGGAAGTCTATGGGCTTGATCTAGTAGATGGATAAGCAAGTTTAAATTCTGTAAGCTTGATCTAGTAGAAGGATACATAGATGAAAGTCTATGAGCTTGGTCTAGTAGAAGGATAAGCAAATTTAAATTCTGTGAGTGTGGATCAGCAGGTGAAAATCCCATTATCTTGATCTGGTAAAAAGGGTAAACAGGTGCACATTCTGAGTTTGATTGAGTAGAAGGATAAGCAGGTGAAATGCCGTGAGCCTCATCTACTATACGAATAAGCAGGTGAAAGTTCTATGTACTTGATGTCACAGAAGGATAATCAGACTAATTCACAGGTTGTGATTCCTCCTGTAGCTCAGCAGCTGTTGACAACTTGAATAAATTATGGCAAAGTGTTTGAACTTCCCTATTCTTTGATGTGATATCTGTGATGCAAGAGTAACAGTATTTGTCAGATAATTACCTTAAGATCATGTTGAAAAGATTTAGTGCGATACTTTTAACTTCTCGTGGAGGCCGTTCTAGAAACTGCAGACTATAATATGAATTTATGTGTGAATTTTCCCTGATGTCTGTGCATACAAAACATTTAGTGCCTGAAGTTTTAAGATTTTGTTTATAAGAGGAGTTCAGGCTGTAATCGTGAGCTACAGTTCATTCTGCAATGGTCAGAAATCAGTGTACCATCATCAAAAACCAGCATGAGAAAGTGAAGCTTTGCTTCAAGATCCCTTGAACCTCTGTCTCCGGCAATCCATTTTTTAAGTTTCGATGGCATTTGCATCCTTTGTTAACCATGCCTCGTATTCATGCTTTCTCTCCTTGCTATGTATCTGCGTTGTCCTTCACCTTTCTTCATCTCACTCTTTATTTCATTCTTTTTTCTAAAGTCTGAAAAGGTATTTTCAAGGAGTTGAACATCCATTCTCTCCCTTGTTTCCAGCCTGACATCCCATGGTTATTATTCCTGTGGTGTTCAGCTGTGCTCAGTGCATTTTTTTTTTTAAAGATTTTATTTATTTATTTAACAGAGAGATAGCAAGAGCAGGAACACAAGTAGGGGGAGTGGGAGAGGGAGAAGCAGGCTCCCTGCCAAGCAGGGAGCCCGATGCGGGACTCGATCCCAGGACCCTGGGATCATGACCTGAGCCGAAGGTAGACGCTTAACGACTGAGCCACCCAGGCGCCCTGTGATCAGTGCATTTTAAAGCTGTGGGGAAGGACTTTCTGGGAAACCGTCTGGTTTTACCTCTGTCTGTGTGCTTCCTGCATGTTCTAGACACTGGACGTGGCATTTGCGATAATTCTACCTAATACTCGACCGGATGTGTTGGGGATGTGAGGCACGGATGCTGGCGTTTTCTTTTCCTATGGCTGCCCTGAAAATTACCGCAAATTCGGTCGCTCGGAACAACACAGATTGATTAGTTTATAGTTCCGGAGTGCAGGTGTCCAAAATGGGTCCACCTGCGCTAAAATCAAGGTGTTGACAGAGCTGTGTGCTTCTGTGAAGGCTCCAGGGGAGGTGTTTCTGTGCCTTTTCCAGCATCTAGAGGCACCTGTATTCCTTGGTGTGGGGCACCTTCCTCCATCTTCAGGGCCTGCTGCATAGCATCAGCCAGCCTCTCTCTCTGCCCTGATTCTGAGTCTCCTGCTTCCCTCCTCCCCTTATAAGGACCCTTGTGATCATGCTGGACCCACTCAGATAACCCAGGGTCATATTCCAGATTATCCTGGGGATATGG